CAGCAGTAGGAGTATTAAACTAATTTTTATTCATTTGTACAACAAACATTAATAATAAAAGCTGTATTATTTGCATGAACATTCCAATTTGAATTAGTTTAGGTGATGTCAATATTAGAATTTATACTTAAAAATATTTGAAAGTAAGTCAAATTCCAAAATGCTTGAGAGAGTCAGAGGGGCTACGCTAGGTCATCTCTCATGTGCTGGATCATGTTTTAGTGGGGATTTTAATTGTAGTTTTAGTGACTGGCAAAATGGCAAAACTTTGTACTGTGGTTTTTGGATTCCTCTTATGGCTGTGGAAATCAAAACTTTTGCTATTAAAATAAGATGCTCTTAATGAATTGCTGTCAGTATTTAGAAAACTTTTTGACATTCGGATCTGTGATCTTTTTGACCAGGTTTATTTTAAAGGCAGATTGCCTCCTGCGGCATGGAGAATTTTGCTGTAAGTTTTTGCTGATAACACTCTCTGTGGGGAAAAAAAAACAAGAAGGAAGTTCACAAATGAACTGTAGAAGTTGACAGAAGTACCTGGGCAAACGAATGGCTTACTTTGATCAAATAGTTTTGTGGGTGAATATGCCACTCCAGAAAACTAAAGCCTTGGCTACACATTTGAGGCTTTTCTTAAGCAAAACGTTCTGGTCTCTTCCATGGCAGGTGCTGGAGCAGGTAACAGCATTTCACTTTTGTTCTACAAAGGAGGGACGCAGGTAGAGGTGAGATCTAGCATTGCTTATCAGCACTGAGTAATGTCACTGTCGAGGCTTTGTGTTTGATAAGAGTGGGCAGAGACAGGTGGTGAAAGCAGGGTGCAGTGGGAGTTGGTTTCTTAAGGACAGCTCATATCCTGCTCGTGGCTTCCCGGTGCCGGCTTGGAGGCACCTGAAGAATGCTCATTGCTGCCTACACACTGAGCACTGGCTTTCCTTGGGTGCTTCTTGTTCCCAGCTGTGAGATGTCTAAGTCAGCATGTAGTGCTTTCCTAGTGTGTTTGGTTAACCACATGCTGTCAGTGCTATTTATTTGTTCCTGGCTTTGCAGGACGGCGTAGTGAGCAGTACCACCAAGTATGGGGAGGGGGTTTTTCGGTGATATATACTGAAATATAGCTTCCAATGAAATCATATGGATTGCTGGGATATAGCAGGCTCAGGCCTCTCAGCCTCAGTTTTACCTTAATGTCAAAAAATACGTTTCTGTTTTTATCCTCAAATGCGTTCAGGCTTTGGAGAAAATTTTCCTGGGAGTCCCCAGTTCTTTGCACTCGATCTGTCAGGCTGCTTCCTCACGCATAAGGCAGAGGCTTGCTGTGCACGTCACATTTCCCTCTTTCCACGCCCGCTATCCTGCTCTGAGTATTTACAGAGTGAGCAGGGAGGGCCGGAGTGACGGCGGCAGCTGTGGGTGCTGCACAGCAATGCGTGCCTGCTGCTGCCAGGACCGGCTCCTGCCCTGGGTGCCCAGCCGCCTGTGAGGTAAGCGGCCTTTGTCCATGGCTTCCCAGCAAACCATGAGCTGGGTCCTGGTGCCTCTTGGGATGAGTGCATCACGAAGCTTTGGGCAACCTGCCCAGCTGGGAGGTGTCCCTGCCCACAGCTGTGGGTCCTTCCCACCCGCAGTGCTGTGTTGGTGCCATGTGGGACGTGCTGGGGAGAGTAGGGATGGCAGTGGGGCGGCACCCCAGGGGAGATGGAGAGCTCTGCACGTTCACTCTGCTCGACCTGTAGCTGCAAGACAGACAGAGCCTACCTGAGGCTGCTTTTAGTTTTATTTATTCTTTTAGCTTTTTGGAATTTGTTGGTGTAAGCACATGGTAGAACCCACCTGTCCATATCAGACCTCTCAGAACTTACTGCTGAGGTAATTTCAGGGTTGTTTTTGTTTTTGTTTTTACCTGATACATGTATCTTAGTGAGGTGTCTTTGAGCCATGTCTAGCACGACTGAGCATGTCAAGGGCAGAATTAATGCATCTAATTGCTGAATGCTGATGGCCAGCTTATGGGAGCAGCACTGTGGGGCTGTCTGTGGGCTGTTCTTGCTGGCAGTCCGGGGCTGCAGCACAGTCAAGCTGGAAATGAAAATGTGCAAACCAAAAAAAAAACAAACAAAACCCACCCCAAACCTACAGTGGCTGAGTGAGTGACAGCACAGCACACAGAAGTGATGATGGTCACCGGTGTCCTTTTCTGAGAACAGATTAAGTGGGCACATCTGCTTCAGTTGTTTATTTACACAGTGCTACTATTTTGGATTTTCAGCGGTTTTTTCTGACAAAAAAAAACCCCACAAGCCTCCCCTGTCTCTTGGCTTCCTGTTAGGCCCTGCTCTGAGAAGAAAAACAGGTGCTGAGAGAGCAGTGGCTGCAGTACAAAGGAATAACTGAAATCAACACGGTCATTTAGGCGACATCTGTACATGCATTTTACTCAGCACCTGTTTACTATGTTTGCCATTGAGAAGTAAAAAAGGAAATAAAAAGTTACTAACAGTGTCTTAGAAGGTCCCCAGAGTAAAATTACCATTATTCCCATGTAAAATATAATCCCATCATTATTTTATATTATTTCTTGTAAGACCATGGTCTTCTTCCAGGTTTAATGCTGAAGCCTCATGCTGCAACAGGTGCAGCAGATAGCAGGGTGTCAGCCTTTCTGTGTTCCTTGTGCAGCAGCATCCAGGCCATGGAACAGCCCTGCATCCAGTGCTTCATGTGCTTCCTGATGGCATAAAATCAGTGCTGTGTTTTGTTGTATGCTCAGCTTTTTGCTCCCATTCCTGTTGCATTGCCTTCTACGCTACTGACCCTAATCAGGCCAGGACCAAATAACTGCATGTATACACCAATATGATGAACAGCAAAATGGCGTTAGGCAGTCGCCTACTACACATTCCCATCACTGATGCAATCTGCTCCACCTCACTATTATTTGGACCATCTGCAGTGCACAAAGTTACCAATCACTAGATATGGATCAAGTAGGTCCTTCCCTATCCCAGTATTTTAGTTTTCACTTTTTTTTCTGATAAAATCCTCTGTTCAGATTGTAGCAAACAGTGAAAGAGAAGACATTAATTTTTTTTCTTGTGTGGACTGTTAGAAACTTGTTGCAGCAACGATTAGGAAAAAAAAAAAAAACAGCACACTTGTAAGTCTGACTGCTCTCATTTGAAGATCTCATGATGGAATTGCTATGAGTAGTCACTTCAGAGCCACTTCCTTGGGTTGTTCTGTTGTGGTTGCTTTTGATGTCCACACAGGTGAGCTGATACAGGAAAACAGTGAAAGACTGTGGAAGTGGAGAGGGCTGTGAAGGATGGGGAACTCCAGGCATCTGTAACAGTGCTCAAGAGCCAGCTGAGCACAATTGGCTGAGTTCTTCCATTTGAGATGCTCTGGTCCTTGCCAGTGATGGAAAACTGTCACAAATGAACAGATTAACAACAGTGGAGGTACTGTAGGTTTTCTGTGTGCTGTAGGGAATGGTGGTCATAAGGTGGTAGGGTTTTCCACACGGCTGTGAAGACTCTGGTTAAGGAAAGACCAGGGAGAAAACAGGGATCACTTTTGTGCCTGTGCTTAATTACAGGTGCTGCTCCTTGGAGGGATTCGTTTAATGCCCTATGGACAAATTTGCCCCTTTACAACAGGCCAACATAACAGATTTGGAAGAGATTAAGTGGTGCATAGACATTATGTTTGTCCCTCACCACAAAGATAAGATTGAGCTGCACAGAGAAAATTTTGGAGATACAAACTTCTTGATAGTTTGCATTTCTGCTGAGGAGCAGACAAGCATGATAGCTTCCCTCAGTGTATTGTGTCACCTCTTGTTCTCTTTATCCCGGCATTTCCAGGAGACTCAGCAGGGTATATTTTTACTCCTATGACATCGAGCACGTATTTTTTCCGTCTGTTTAATGCAGCCCATGTAGGTTTGCCTGGCTCTTTGTTGTGCTTCCCTGCTCTCACTGCTGCCGACTGCCTTAACGCTTCTGAAAACAAAGGCAAAAGAGAGAGAAAAGGAAAACAGTTGTCACCGCTGTAACTTTTGCTTCGTTCTGAACACAGTTTCAGAGCAGGAGGGCTGTAAGTTGCCTTTTTTGTTTGTTTTCTTAGCTATTCATATGTAAGCTGTAGGGGCTGTTGCGTGTTGACTACTTGAGCTGCCTCTTCTTCCTATCGGAGGCTTCAAAGGCCGCGTGAGCACAGCGCCTGTCAGGAAACAAGCAGGGTGGAAAGGAGTGTGCCTGGCTCTGGCTGTCATTTTCACACAGGCAACTGGAAAATGATTGATGGAAAAGGTTTACATTCATTTGTTGTTAAAAGAAGAATCTTTTACTGATGTGCTGAGAGGAGGAGAAGAGAACCAAGTGTCTTGCCTCTGCTATGGATTTAGTGAGGCGCTCAAATGCCAGTTTTATAAAGAGTTGCGAATTACATCACGATGTGCTGCTCTTCTGCTGTTGTTCCTCCTGGCTTCACTGCCCTGAGCCAGGCTCAAGTGCAGCCACCTTATGCTGAACACATTGAAACCTGTCTGCATTTCCAAAATCCAAGGTACCATGTGCTGATGTTAGAAGAGCGTACTCTGCATGAACACTTCAGGGTGGCTCAGTCCCAAACACTTTCAAAGAAAGATCAATAAGCACCATTTAAAAATGTTGTTCTATACACTTTCTGTCTCCGCATAACACATACAGTTATCATATTTGTCATTTCACTTGCTTAATAATCTCCATGAACAACAGTAGGTGCTACCGAGACATAGCTGTTCTTCAGCTCTTCATTTCCATGGGCTTTTTAAAGGTGAGACTTTTGTAGGGGAGAGAGGGTAAACAGGGAGCAAATGGGGCCTGCAACCAAAATCCCTCCTGAACAAATTGCTGTGGTGCCAAAACCACATTTATTGTTATCGGAGGCAGCTGCCTGCCCTCTCTTCACAGTTCTATTTGTGAACTTTTGACGGCTATAAATGGAAACACACGCTGACCAGAAATCACCACCAGTGCTGCCTGAGACTCCTCTCTCCTGACTTCAAAAGTACAGTGACATCTAACATGTAAGCAGCCTCAATCACGTCTGCTTTCCATATTAGAATCGATTGATTTGGGTTTTTTCCCTCTGGGAAATGGAGTTGGGAAAACATGGAAGAAAAGGAAGAGCAGCCTTAGAGGAAAAGCAAATGGTAAGATATGTCAGTGTTTGTTATCCTGTTTTATGATGGATTTGTTAATTATTTTTTTTTCTTCCTAATTTAATGATAAGAAAGAAAAGCCGATCAGCTCTGGTACATATAGAAATATATTCCTTCTTCCTTTAACCAGTGACCTTGAAGATTAAAACTTAATTCTGTATTTTAAATTAATTATGATGAGACATTTCTGTGAAAATTATGGAAACTTGTCAATGCATTTTGTGAGGTGCATGTGAAGTGCAAAGACTGCCATCTACTTCAACAGTGACTGTAGTTTTCTTGTTTTGTTTTGAAGGACTATTTCATGTCTTTGCACATTACTTTTCACAACTTTAAGTCAATAAATGAAAGAGGAAATTGTTTGTCTTCCTTGGGATCTTACTGAAATGAAGTGTGACCAAAATAAGTTATTAAGAGAAAGTGAAAACAGTCAAAACACAGTTTGTTGGTAATGAGAGTAGGCTTGAAACACAGTGTATAATGCGCCTTGCTTAAACAAGGTTATTTTTTTGATGTCATGAAAAGGGCATTTCTTCATTGACTTGGCACAGCTGTGAGGAAAGGTGGCCATTATTCTTGTTGAAAAACAAATTAGCACTGAATTTTTTAGCACTTACCTTAGACAGTGGTGGTGGTGTTAGATTGGTTTGGGTTTGTAGTGAGACGATGATTGCTTTTGTTTAATCGTGATGTTCGTCTCCACTGGCCTTGTTCAAGTGAGACTTTGAAAACTTGTGTGTTAGCCAACAATTTTAAATAGGGTACATTGGGTATGAGATCCGGGAAGTGCTGAAACGAAATAAGGACTTGGCCTTAAAATACCTTTTCTTTTTTAAGAAGTATCTGAAAGAGAGCTGCTGAAGCTTCAATTTGAATTCACCGTATGAATATTATGTTTTACTTGTATTTTTTTTTTATCAATACATTAACATTTTGGACAAAGACTTTGTGTGTGTGGTTGATATGCAAAATATAAGGAAAACTCTTCGTAAGTAAAAGCAGCTACAAAACTCACAAAAGCTTCAGGAAAACATTCAAAGAAACCTCGAAAATCTTGTTTTAGCTCGTATGGGGAGAATGCATAGCAGTGTAATTAGATAACAGTATTATCTAACTGCAGGTTGCATCCTGATACAGGAAGCATGCATCAATCTTCTGATGACTTTGTGGGCATCATTTACTAATTCAGAGAGAGGCAAACTGAAGTAAAGAGGAATCCCACAGACCCGAGCCATCTTGATGGCTGTCATGGCTCTGTGCTGGCAGCAGAGGAATGCCCTGGCTTGATGCCCATCCCTCCTGTGCCTCAATCTCCTACCAGCCAGTCCCAGCCTTGCCTCCATCCCCTTTCTCTGCTGTTCACCTTGTGTGTTTAGTCTTAACACTTTTCATGAAGATTGACAGGCAGATTTCACTTTGTCCCAATGTTTTTCCTGGTTTTGCACCTCCTGGGCTTTTATTGATTCTTCCCTCTTCTGTCTGTTACATGCATACCAGTTCAATATTTGAACTCTGCATGGCATCACAGTGTCAGTTTGTGATACAGATAGTATATGTACATGTTGATGATATCTGCTCTCTTACTTAACTTCAATATGACAAATGCTTTAGGTATTTAACATAGGCACTGTGGAGTGTTTGTTTTCATTGTTATATCCTGTAAACTGGGTGATAATTTACATATGTATAACTGGATGACAGTTTATGTGTTTTTCATGTGTCATAGGAGCATAGGATAACTCAGGTGTGGAGGGGCTTCAGGAAGTCTCTACCCAACCTCCTGCTTAAAGCAGCTATGGAGTCAGACCAGGTTTCTTAGGACTTTATCCAGTTGGGTTGAAACTTACAAGGTTGTTGAAAGTTTAAGTTGAAAACTTACAAGGTTGGAGGTGGCACAGCCTCTCTCAGCAGCCTGCTCCACTGCTGGGCCATTCTTAGGGGAAAAAACTTTTTTTCAAAATCTCTCATTTCAATTTATGTTTATTTGTGTTTTCTCCTGCCATCACTGCTGTGAAGATCCCTAGTTCCATCTTCTCAGTAATCTCCACAGCACTGGAATTGCTATTAGATGCCCCCGAAGACATCTCTTTGTGAGTCTGAACAAAACTAGCTCTCCTTATGTGGAAAACTCTCCAACCCCCACTGTTTTAGTGGTCTCCACTGAACTTGCTTCCATTCATCAAAGTTTGTCTACTACTGGAAAGTCCATATCTAGTGAGTGCCAAATACAGAAGGGAATCCCTTGTAATCACTTCTTTGCTTCAGCTGTGCTGTCTGTAGCATAGTACCCCACTGTCACCCTTGTTGGCCTCTCCACTGATCCTGACCCACAAGCTCTTGCCGAGCACTGTTGCCCTACCATTCATGAGCTTCCCACATCCAGACTACTCCTTCACATAGAAGAATCCTCTCCTTCTTATCTTCCTTAACTGTCTTTCTGAGGATCTTCTATCCAGCCATTTCAACGCTATAGCCATATGATCTATCTTACAACATCCTAGTTATTTTTGCAGTGTTATAGGGAGTGTATAGGGAGGTGATTCTGCCTCTCTACTCTGCACTTGTGAGACTCCATTTGGAGTACTGCATCCAGTTCTGGGGCCCCCAATGCAAGAAGGGCACTGAAATGTTGGAGCAGGTCCAGAGGAGGACCAGAAATATGGTCAGAGGGCTGGAACACCTCTCCAAATACAAGGACAGGCTGAGAGACCAGGGCCTCTTCATCCTAGAGGAGAGAACAGTTAGGGAGAACCTAATAATGGCTTTCCAGTACTCAAAGGGGGCCTACAGGAAAGATGGGGAAGGATTTTTTACAAAAGCTGGTAATGACAGGCCAAGGGGAAATGGTTTTAAGCTGGAAGACAGTAGATTTAGACTAGATAGAAGAAAGAAATTATTTACTGTGAAGTTGATGAGACACAGGAACAAGAGGATGTGGATGCCCCCTCCCTGGAAGCATTCGAGGCCAGGCTGGATGGGGCTTTGAGCAACCTGGTCTAGTGGGAGGTGTCCATGCCTAGAGCATGGGGTTGGAACCAGATGATCTTAAAGGTCCCTTCCAACAGAAACCATTCTATGATTCTGTGTATGTTTGTGTGCATGTAAGACAAACCTTGGTTTTATATACTTTGTAAGAAATATTTCTACCTGCTTACAAAAGAACAAAGACCTAATCCAGTCTGTATCATCCTGAAAATATTCTGATTGCAGATTTTCCATTAAATAGCTACTAGCTGATGCTCAAGATATAGTGCTTGTCACAGAGTTAACTAGATCAATCTATGCCCATGACAGGGGGGCAGTAGGCCCCTGGCCTTCCCTTGGTCCCACAAAATGGGAAGGAAAAGGGAAAAGGGATAGGGAGATGGGAGCTGGGCTCAAAGAAGGAAAAAAAAGCAGCAGCAATGATCTATGGAGGAAAACTTATTTTACTAACTATGATATCAGAATGCAAGATAACACAATATAATACAATCTAATTGAAATTGAGACTAATAAATCAAATAAAATAGCAGAGAGAGAGTTCCTGAGACTGAGTCAAACCTGAAAAGCTTTATATGGCTAGGAAAGCACCCTCCAGCACCCACTGCAAGGCAATAAGAGAATGCTGCACACGGAAGGGCCAGATCCCATGACTTCCATGATGTACAGGGACAGGTACCCAGAATTGGAGCATTAACACTTCAGCTCCTAGTGCACTACATGATATTATGATGTGGAATATTGAAAACCAAAAAACACAAAACCACGACAGCGCCTATTTAACCTTACAGACAGTTTTATTAACTAGTATTGTAGCTTTATATTCACTACTTTCTGTGGATGAGACAAATAATATGAATTTCTCTACTGCTTCAGGCTATTTCACATAATATTTGTGAAATATCTTGTTAAAGAGTTCTTGTCCTTGCTTCCTGGAGAAAAATTCTCTGTCAGCCAGAATCCAGAAGAGATTCTTAGTGTTGAGCCAGCTGTGGAAATGGAAGATAATGGATGTCCTGTTTTGTGACAGAAAAATGGAATGACTCACTGTCAAATAGATTGGTTTAAGCAGATGAACCGAATTTTCCTTTTTATAGTTTTTGTTATTAGAAGAGCTCAAAAAGACAGAATAATTCTAGCATTTCCATATTGGATTGACAGCTTAGCTCAAAATAGTCTGTTTACATTCAGAAGTCCTCCTCCATTAATGCATATTGCATCTGTTATTTGAAAAGATTTTAATTATATTTCACACTTGTCTGTTTCCTGTTTGATCTCACCTCTCTTCATTAAAATGTAGCATGTTTAGTATTGCATTTAAAATAATATGTATATTGGTATGGTAACAGGGAACATTCAGTCTTTATACTTTAGTATGCATCATCAGTTATTTTTTGTTGTTGTTGTTGTTCTTTTTACTTTCTTGATTCATTAAATATTGATAAAGTAAAGATAATCATGTAGAGGAAATAAATTAAACCAAATAGATGCCTGAAACTAATGCTTGAAAGGGCACTAAGATAAGCTTTTGGATGTCAGCATGCACTCTGTAAGAAAGGACTGCAAGACTTAATTCAGAAAGCTATCATTTGCTTTCTATAAAAAAATGTGCAGAGACACCTCAAACAGGATGAGGCAGTGTGGATCAAACCCATCAAACTACATCAAACAATTGGTATTTTTACATCATTAGCAACAAGTGATTCAATCCCTGCCAAGGTCAGATCATCTCTGTGGAAGTGCTCTGGTACAGACTCCTCCAAGGGGATGATCCATTTCCTGAGGTTTACAACTTAAAGGGACCCAAATGGGAATGAACTGCTTAGTCAGAGAAAGTTTAATATGTTTATAAATTTAAATAATTCCTTTTGTTTCTTGCTCTATAGGTAATTTGTGACCTCCTCTTGTAGCTTCTGTCATGCAGCCAAGTTCAGTAGAGTGAACCATCATCCTTACAGTGTTCTGTGCTGCCATGTGTCAGATTTCAGCAGCCTCTACTGTAAGGGTGG